GGGGGGGGGGGTTAATCGATGAATCATAATCTCTTGCCTTCCCACTTTTTCAAAGTCTTTTCGTTGTTGTTTTGGTTGGAATTACTCCAAAATTGAGGGAAGTCTTTACCCTTTTGAAGATTTATGTGTGTTTTGCCAATTATACCCTATAAAAATTTTATGTTACAATATTGATTGATCAATTCCTTTCCTTCCACATTTCGTCATTCTCTCTGGATCCTTTTTTTTTCATTAATTAATCAAGGGAACCCTCCATTCCCTTATTCAGTTCAACATTGGTCCAAAAATTTTAAGTTTACAATCCCTTTATCATTTATGGAACACTCTCATTTGAGGAATAATGACTATAGTAACAAAGCAATGTGTCTTTTCATTGCTTCAATTTTCAGTCTAACCACTTACTTAATGAAATATCATGAGCATTATACAGGTGCTTGTATTCAAGTTGAGGAGATAGGAATAAGTTGCCATGAAAGTTGTATTTGCAGTGTTCCTTATCATGTGTTAGTTTGCACTGTTTCCACATGAAACTTATAATTGCAGAGTTCCTTATCATGTGTTAGTTTGCATTGTTATCTCTCGTTACCTTAACTTGTTGTAGTGTTGCTAATCAGTATGCGATTTTTACTTTTTATCATGGCCAAAAGGAAAATAGAAGAATAAGCAATCAGTATGTGATTTCTTAATTGGAGCATACTACTATAGATTTTGCATATACTTTTTGAAATGTTTTGATTTAGGTTTTCTTTTTAATTTATTCCCTCTATAATCATTTGTGGCAAACTTTGACTCAACTTGCAGCTAAAACGATTGAGCATGAATATAGAGGTCTTGACATCTCAAGCATGGGATATTCTCCTTGAAAGGGTATGTCGAGGTTTAGAAATTGTTATTATGTGTTCAAGTAGTTCTGTTCCTGGTATGATGATGTTTTGCAAGCTTTATAATTACTGAATATGACAGGTCGGGGATGGGTGCATGGTTTATCTACTTCGGCATACATCATTATTTCTGCCCATTTCTGACAAGAAACACCTTCAAGTTGCCGGTTCTCCTATCAATAATCTATGCAAGAAGCTGTCGAAAAATGAAATAAAACCACAATCTGGTATACAAGACTCTACATTTGTGTGTTTGAGCATATAGATGCATATAAATCCATGGTTTTATAGACTTTTGCTTACAACATAAATCTCTGCTTCTATTTGACTCTGCAAAGCTTCATAGGTTTCCATTGTTAAAACATATCTTATGGCAAGTTGTCCTTGGCCCACCTATCATTTGTGTCAGTTGATTTTCCCAATCAGAGCGATATCATGACATTCAGAAACACATTAACATTGTCTAATTTATTAAACCAAAATGTTAGTGTCTCCTGCTAAGCTGGAAACAAGTTGGTGCTTGATGGGAAGATGGTCTACTTTTAATCAGAAATGTAATCAAAACATGTATGCAACTAGAAGGATGAGCTTGAATGTTCTAATATATTAAAAAGCAAGGTGAATGCCACCTGCTATGCTAGATAAACCTTGCTATTTGGTGGAAAGAAAAATAATTGCTTTAATATAAATCTTTCACAAATTTTAGAGTGTGCACTTTGATGTTATTCTTCAACATTTTTGGAGCAAATAGGCTTGATAAAATACTCTTAAAACACGTACATAGTGCACTACTTTCAGTTTTTGTTGCTATAAATAAAATGAAGTTATGATGAAAGTTCCTCATCACGCAAGGAACTTGTATAATATGATCAAAGATGACTTTATTTCACCAGGTTGGTAATGATGTCCTATCTTCTGGGAATGTGCTTGAATATTTTCAGGTTTCTGAGTGCTTGTAGCTGTTTATTGATTATATGATTTGTAGCTTTTTCTGGAAAAATCCTGGTTCCAGCTTTTTATATCATAACATGTAGGCCACTGGAGATAGAAACAGTCACTTCCTCTTATTGCTGTCTAAAGTATTTAATAGGGACATCATGGAACCATGATATTTAGCTGACAATTTGTCAGTTCGTTCTGATTGTTGAATCATTTGATAACCAGAGTTTCTTTGGTGAATGACCCTATAAGTCGGACTCAATAGAATTTGATCAATCCTTTTGCCTTTCAGTTGGTATCTTTTATCTTTCTATTTCTCTCGCCAACACATTGATTTGTCAGTTGGTTCTGGTTGTTGAATCATTTAATAATCAGAGTCAGTCAGTCAGTCTTTGATAAATGATAACTTTCAGTCAGACTCAATAGAATTTGATCAATCGTTTCCTTTTTCAGTTTGCTTTTTTTATGTTTCTCCATCTTTGCATGCTCCTTTTTGTCCCTTCCATTTTTTCCTTGCTTTGCAATTAATCTGAGGGTTTGTAGTATTAATTGATTGTTACCTCATTGCCTGTTCATGTTTGCTCACTTGCAAAATTTTGATTGCACATGGTGACAATGGCCCTTATGCTTGAAAGTTTTCTCCGGAGCTGTAAAGAAAAGGAAACTACCTGAAAATAGCAGTTCAGTATCAAAGAGGCAGCAATATATTCCTCCTTCCGTTTGTGATATTTCCTCAAACTCAGTTGATTGTGCTAATTCAAAAACTGGAGAAGCTGTTGCCAAGTCTGATGAAGGTTCAAGTGGAGAACTTAAAAAATGCTCAAGTCCAACTGCAGCAAAGCGTAAGAAGTTTAGACTATTTCATTGGAAACGCAACAAGAAGCGCAGACTACTAAACACTCCAGAAAACAAAGAAGAGACCATCCTCCAAACCGTTTCTTCTGATGCAAATTGCTTACCTGGGAGTCTCAAGTGCCCTGTCAACACAAATCAGGTCATTTTCTTTACGGTTGCTTGTTCTATTAACCAAGACCTGTATTTTTCCTGCTTAATGGGTTGATAAATGCAAGCATATTCTTATTTCTAAAGTAACATCCTGCTGTGCAGTGCATATATTATGTTTGTAAGAGAGAGATTCATTACTGCTAATATATTTTATTTGAAATATATCTTAGTGGTTTTGGGCAATAGTTCAGATACTACCAGAGATTAATAACAAGTTTGTAGCAGTTGTTGTAGATCAAGAATTTCTGAATTTTCTTTCTTTACTTGCTTTTAAAAAGTATTAATGCTCTCCATCACCAAGATCCACGAAACATTAAAACTTCTGAAATATCTTCTGTCGCATTTAAGGAAACTGCAGAACAGTTTAAGCACACAACGGAAGTTAACTTGCCATTTCTGTTTCATGTCTTTTAGTTCTTGTGCTGATCCTAGTGCATGAGCAGTTAAAATCTTAGACACAAACCTGAAACTTTGTGATGTCTTGTCATTGCCTTCAAATTTGCTTTTATTTTGTTATGCAGATGCCGGTGCACTGTTCTTGTTATTTGATGCTAAAAGCTCCCCAGTCAGTCTCCTATTTTAATGAGATTAACAGGCAATCTATGTTTTATAATTTGGAAAGTTCCTCATCTGTTCTTCCAAGAGAGCGTATCCTTTAGTATATGATTATATGCTGTGCATCATTTTCCATTTTCCTTTTAATTTTCTGTAAGGCATCCATTATCATACAGCTGTGACTTTCTTTTTGTAATTTTACTGGGTGAACGTTGTCTCTCTTTGGCTCAAAGGAATTTGTGTCACCTTAATAATCTAAAGATGTACTAAATGACTTCGTTCCAAATTTTAAAAGCTCCAAGTGTCTCATGGAGAATATCTTTGGTTTATCTGATGCAAATGTAAGTGGTCAATCTACGCCATGCGCCCACGACAGTGACTTTTGTCTCTTTCGATCCTCTTGCCTGTAAGTTGCATATCACAATATTTGTACTTTGCAATGTTCTATTAATTTTGTTGTTTAGGGAGTGACCGGAAAAAGCATCTTTTTCTTTTGGTGCTTGCTAAAGTAGATTATTTCTTGGCTCTGTGATACCAATATCTTGTCTTAGCATGCTGTGGAACATGTATTCGCATTGTGCAAACCTATGTTGTAGGCACGTTGGCAACAGCATTTATCAACAATGCTAGAAATTGTGCCATTTATATACACTAATGGATCTCTTGACCTGGCGTATGAACACTGCAGAAAGGGGTATGGTAAAAGGAATGCTGCCAAAGCACTGAGGATGTTGAACTCTTATCGTTAGCATTCAAACTAGTGTGGCCGTGTCAATTAGATCAAAAAATGCTATGAAGAAAATAATTGTCATTATTTATTTTGTGATGTTTAATCTAAATATTGAAGCTATAGGAATTTATGAAGTTATCTTAAAAATTATATTTAGACCATAAATCATCCAATAAAGCTATTTTATAGTATGGTTTTTGTGTTTTTGGTTCACCAGGTATCACTCGTTTCTTAAGTTGCTGAAGAAGCTCATACGCAGAAGCAGACGTTTCAAGCCCTCAAAATTGTTGGAGAAGTATTGTCCTCTACCATCTCTAGATCAAAAGGTAATGGGAAATTCAATCTCAGTAGCTGAGGTTAGTATTGTTTGTGAAACCCATATAAGGCGCTTTAAACTGCGAGAGCCATCATCTGAAATGCTTGATGTATTATTTTCGGTTTGCAAGCCTTACCTGTGAAGGTGCTATGTTAGACGATTGGGTGAATATCTAGATTTGATGTTAGTGATAGTATTATTTATTATATGAATTTACCAACATATGGTGTCGATTGTAGTACAAAAATTCATTTCGCTTTTTCTAGGTTTAAATTAAAAAGTGTATGCAACATGCTTGTAAAAAGTAACTACGTATTTTTCTATATCAGAGCAATGTAAGAGTGCTTGAGCAATTTCATGGAGTTGGTGCCAAAGGGAACAACAACATTCTGGAAGCTGATAATAAAAAGCTTGAATCAAACGGGTCTTATTGCTTACACAGTCAGGTAGTGGGTTTTATATGGGCTGTCTGTAGAAGTATAATTCCTCCAGAATTGCTAGGAACTCCTTCTAACATGAGAATACTAAGGAGAAATATTTCCAAATTTATTCGGTTGCGGAAGTTTGAGAAGTTCTCTATGAAGCAATACATGCACAAGTTAAAATGGGCAGATTTTCCCTTTTTGTCACATAACCATACTTCATGCTGCTTGAATGGTCAGGTGCCAAAGAATGGCACGGGGCAGAAGTTCGGGGAAGCAAGTTGTAGCTTACATGGTGTTAAACATAAGCTTTTAGTCAACTGGATTTTCTGGTTCTTTTCATCTTTTGTGGTGCCATTGGTGCAAGCCAATTTCTATGTCACTGAAAGCGAGCATGGCAAGCTAGATACTTTTTATTATCGCAAGCCAGTTTGGGAGATGTTGACAGACCATTCCATTACTGGCTTGAAAGATCAGAGCTATCTTGAACTTGATGAGGCTGCTGTTAGAGCTATAATAGACAAAAGACAATTTGGGTTTTCAAGGCTGAGGCTTTGCCCAAAACAGAATGGAGTTAGAATGCTGGCAAATCTTAAAGCATCCTCAAGATTGCCAGGAAGATTCTCCTCGAAACATAAATGTCCTTGGATGCAGAAAAGTTCAAAAGCATGTTATAGGAAAAAATACAAACGTTTTAAGTCTGTGAACTCTGTTCTTCGTGGTACACATGCAGTTCTTAAAGGTTTACTATTGAAAGAACCAGAGAAGTTTGGGTCCTCAGTGTTTGACTATAATGATGTCTATAGAAAGCTATCTTTGTTTCTAACCACTCTAAAGAGTGAACCAAAAACTATGCCTAGTGTATTTGTTGTAGTTGCTGATGTTTCAAAGGCATTTGATTCTATCTATCAGGATAAGCTACTTGGTATAATGGAAGATGTTGTTACAAAAGATGAATATAGTTTAGACCAGATTAATCAAGTTGTCTGTTCAAACAAATGTTTCTGGGATCGCGAAAATCTCATATTGGTGGATGAGGCAGTTAATACTGGTTTTGCAAACTTAATGTCTTCTGTCCCATTTCGGTCATTGCCTGGTGTTTTTGTTAATCGGGTATTGTTTCTAACTGCTCTTTCATGGAACATTCAGATCTTGTTGCTGTTGAATCTTCTATTGTTTTCTTCTGGATTAGGTCTTAGTTAATTGAAAATGGGGACAATTCATGATATCTTCTGTCCATTTTTGAGGTTTTGTGTTTAATATTTGATTGTTATTATCAGCTATTTTTAAATCTATCTTCTCCTTCAAACTGTTTTTAGGGTAGCAGCAGGATAATTTTAAGGGAAGAGCTGTTTTCTAACCTATATGAGCATGTAAAGCGCAATGTGCTTCTATTGGATAAGAAGTTTTACTTGCAAGGAATGGGGATACCTCAAGGAAGTGTGCTATCCACTTTGCTCTGCTCATTATATTATGGGCACATGGAAAAGCATGTGATCTCTCCATTTCTTGAGAAAACTATTGAAGCTGCTGCCAAAGATATAGACACACTGCGTATTGTTTCTGATTCCTCAAAGAATGAGCATTCCTCACATGCCTTTGTCTTTCCTCCAACTTATTTGCTTGTACGATTCATTGATGATTTTCTTTTCATATCAACTTCGAAAGAGCAGGCCAGTGGTTTCTTGTCCATGATGCTTCAAGGGGTTCCAGATTACAACTGCTTCATGAATGAGGAAAAGTTCTGTTTTAATTTTGACATTGAACGTCAATCTGGTCTGTTATCGAACCGGGTTTATGTGGTTGATGATGGTACCTCATTTCTTCGATGGAGTGGTTTGCTTATAAACTGTAACACTTTGGAAATTCAGGGTGATTATACAAGGTCAGTTTTTTTCTATGGTTTTTATTACTGGTGTCATTAATATTCTTGGCTTCTTTATGATCTTATGAAAGCTTCCTCCTTGAGTGTTTTGTTGAATTAGTAATTAACACTTACATTTATAAAAAGATTCAGATTCATTGCTTTATATGCCATAGTTCCATGACCATAGGTTGTTTCAGTTTATGCAATTTTTACAATTAAAATCATCATAGAACATAAAAAATGTATATATGCTATAATTTGACATCCAAATAATGCTAATATTTGTATTTAGCAAAGCAAACCACTTTTGACGTGATAGATAACAAAAACTCTGTTCGTTCTTATTCCTTGTTCTAATTAACTACAGCAGAAATGGGAAAAATAAGCTTTTACAGTTATGATGTCATCTTGCTTTATTTTTTTATTGGATGCAGTTTCAGTTTGGAATCCATTTCCAGTTTCCTGAATGAGTTGTTCTGTTTTGTTAACAGGTATCTGGCTAACCACTTAAGTTCCACTCTTACTATCCACTGGCAAGGTAAACCGGGTAATCGTCTAAGATGGAAGTTATACAACTTCATGAAACCTAGGTGCCATCCTTTGTTCTTCGATTCAAATATCAATTCCACATCTGTCGTCAGATTGAACATCTATCAAGCTTTTCTCTTGTGTGCAATGAAGTTCCATTGTCATGTCTCAGAAATGTCATATATCTTCAAACCTCGTCGAAGATACTGTTTGAAAATGATTGAAAAATCCTTGAGGTATGGATTCTGATCTTTGGTATCTTGCAATAGTCTTGTGCACAGACTATTCAACTCCAAATGAATATTAGATGCCCTAAATTAGTAGGCTATCTGATTACTACTTTCTACCCTATTGTGAATTTGAATCTCAGTGATAAGTCCTTAGAATTTGGTTATGAGTTTACTATTTCTCCCTTGACTCCATTTTTCTGTCATTTATAATGTCATATTTCAGCTACATGTACGGGCTGATAAAGAAAAGGATGTGTTCTACTCGTATCGGTCCAGGCAAGTTTCCAGTTCTTAAACTGATGAAGGAAGAAGTTGTATGGCTTGGATATCGTGCTTATATTGAGGTATTGAAGAGAAAACAGTCGAGGCATTCGGGATTGCTGTCTTTGCTAAGGTCTAAGTATTTCAATCATAAACTCACCGGGAATGTCTCATCTGAATTAAGATATGCTGTTGAAAGATCACATTCCTCTTCCTTGTGGAAAATCAAGTATTAGAAGTTCTTTAAGAATTCAAGGCCTGCTTGCTTTTGTTTCTCCAAGGAGTCAACATCACAGCTTAATGCTTTTGTACTACATTGAAGGTTTGTGTTCAGAATTTGACCATTGATCATCTGGAAAATACAATGTAAAATTGGTGTTTGCAAAGTCAGTTAACGCAACATCAGGTTTCAGTGAACATCTTCATGATTTTTTTATCATTGGCTAAGTTCGAGTGCATGAGGAATAGTTATTAGTCTAGTATTGTGATAGTATTATTTTGCTCTAATGATGCCTGTTTGGCCCGGACCTATTTCAGAGTTTCTCTACCGAAAAAAAAAGAAAAAGAAAAAAAAACTGAAACCAAACGATCGAAGGGGCGTTTGGATTAGGGGCATGCAATATTATCGATTGTAATGAGATTACTGTAAAATATTACCTAGGTGCATATTACCGGGAATATACATCTAATTCTGTTTGATTAGGATTCTAGGATAATATGATTCACCCGTTTGGTTTCAGTAATGTTTGTCGGTAATAAAAACATGATTACTGAAATGTCCTTGCTTTGCCTAATTAATGTGACAATCAAAAAAATGCCCAAATCCCGGAAAGAATTGCCTTTCAAGTACTTGACTCAAAACAAGCCACATTACATTCATCACAAGTCCATATATAAAATTAAACATGGATTTACTGGTGAACATTAACATCATTCATCCATAATTATAAACTATGAAAGCATAATATTCAATGCCACAAAAGCATAATAAGTACTGCCACCAAGGCATTCAACATGAAAATAAAACTTGCCAAATATTCACTCAAGTAGAGGTGTCAAATAGGCGGGTTGGGTGGGTTCGGGTCAGGTAGCTTTTTCGGGTCATTCAGGTTTCGGTTCATCTGGATTCGTGTTATTCGGGTTTCGGGTCCCGGGTCATACGGGTCTCGGGTCATTTGGGTCTCGGGTCATTTGGGTCTCGGGTCATTCGGGTTTCGGGTCATTCGGGTTTCGGGTCTATCGGGTCTCGGGTTGGACGGATTCGGGTTTTGACTTCGGATCACTCGGGTTTCGTGTCAATTGGGTCAGTATTGAATTTTTTAATTTTCAATACTCAACTTTTTACATATATTTATTGTTCGATTTATTTTATAAACAAGTAGAAACATTATACAATCTATTATCAACGAAGTTTAGCATACTGCATATGCGAGATTAAAGGATAAAATACTTGATATGTGCCTCCTTAGATATTAATTTTTTTTTGAAAACTCCTTAGATATTAATTTTGAATATTAAATACATAATTGATTATCAGGTGAAGTAGGTTTTGAATATTAAATACATAATTAATTATCAGGTGGGGTATGTGTCAACATTTTAAGCCGTATAAAAAGTAAAAACACTATTAACATTGTATTATTATAAGTAAAATATTAGTTATGTAATATCTAAATTTGTATTTTTTATTACTTCAATTATTATTATAAATTAATTAATAATATAACTATCCATGAACAATGAAAATAGAATTACAACCCTTACCAGCTAGATTATTAGTACAGTCGTAGTACCCAATAGATAAAATCACCAAGAAATTACCAAGTATTACTATTTATTCATTATTTTAAAAAAATAAATTACTAATTATAAATTTATCATAAATTATTCATATGACTGATTTAATTTTAGTGGTTGTTCATATAATTATTGTTATGAATTTTAGCAAATTTAATCATCATTTATAATAGGTAAAATTATAACAATAATATTAATTGTATTGAATAAATGATGATTTAGAATAAGTAAAATTATAAATCTTATTGAATAAAAGATAATTTTAGTTTATAATATTCTCGGGTCATTCAGGTTAACTTCTCGGGTTATTCGGATTTCCGGTCATACGGGTCTCGGGTCACTCGGGTTACGGGTCATTCGGGTTTCGAATTGGACGGGTTTGCGTCGTTTACTTTTTCTGGTCAAATCGGGTTGGGCGGGTTCGGGTCAACTTTTGACAGCTCTACACCCAAGGCATTTAACATGTACAAAATATGTACTGCCAGAACAAGGCAACCAATATAAGAAAGATGAGAGTTTATAGGGCCATGTACAGCTACCCTAAATTTCACCTAAATATCAACAAAAAGTTATCAAAAGAATGAAGCCATAACTACCCCAAATCAGATTTTGCCTACCATCCATCAGAAACTGCGTCAAACATCAAGTCCTGGTATGTATGGGTTGGCATCAGCCAATTGCTTCATCACATAGTCCCTCCTGAGCATTTGAGGCAAACCAAAGAAAGCCTCCACCTTGTGTGCATCTTTGAGGATCATCTCCCCAGCTTCAATGACTTGCTGGTTTGTGAACCCACCCATTTTCAGGATTTCTTCAAATATTGCCAGCTTTCTATCACCAACAACAGCCTCCTTCTCGAAGTAGTCGAAGATGCCACTGATTTTCTGTGTGTATTCTCTGTAGGCACCAACATAGTCTTTGATGGACTCCATAAGCTCGGTTAACCCATCATCACTTCTGCTCCACTTCTTTGTTGGCTAGGGCTTTCTGGTTGGGGCAGTGTTGAAAGTTTGGGCATTAGTTGGAGTGGGCTAAGTGTCGAGAACTTCATGATCAAATCCATTTTCTTCAAATTGAGCAGTGTTGTCACAGTTATGAAATTGCTCTTCATCAGCATCACTTTCAGCCTCTTCATCACCCTCTTCATTACTATCATCGTCATCATCAATTTCCTCACAAGCATCTGCTGGTGTTTCAGCTCCAGTCCCATTAGCTCTGTCTTTCCCATAAATCACACTAAGAGTCTCATAGTGTGGGAAAGACTTGCCTCTTAGTCCAACAACATTTCTATGGCTCTACAAAGACATCAAACAAAAAAAAAACAAATCAGTTGAAGAAAAAAAATTAGCAATTTAAATAAAAAAAAATGAATTGAAAGGTGTCACTTAACTTTACACCAACCATCATACACATCTTTTGTTGCTGTGATGCACATTTCCTGAGAATCCCATTCAAAGCCACTACCAACATTCAACATCTCTTGAATGGCATAAAACTACCTTTTCAATAGCTTAGTTTTGGACTCTATGTGAGGAATACCCTTGATAGTAGTACCAGGTATCTTCTCCTTCATCATAAGTTCAATTTGTAGCAAATATACAGTCTTGAATCCATTCTCAGCCTTCCAACTTGGATCATTAAAGAGAGTGTGCAGACTTTCAACCAGAATCAAGTTCTCCTTTGGTTTCCACTGATGCTTGGAATAAGCACTAGATTTTCTCCTTCTTTTGAGAATAGGTTTAGGTGGAGCAACAGTGGTGGACTTCTTGTTTCTCTTGGTCCCTTTTCTACTTTTCTTGCTAAACCCGTCCATGTCTTGCAAATTTTGAAAGCATCAAAGATACACATATAAAACTAAAGCATAAACCAAATTCTAATGAAGCTAAAATCATTAAAATTGAATACAAAAAACAGTCAAACTGGACAAGTCCAAATTACATTATTCAATACAATCTTCAGTTCTACAATCATCAGTTCATTGTTTTCAATCAAGCCACAAATACACAATTAATAAATATCAAATTGTTCATAATGAAGTACAGAACATATAATCCAACAACAAATCACACATCCAAATTCAATTTCTTGAATCCTGCCAAGACATGAACATTTCCTCAGCTAGTTTGTCTCTGAAATCAGTCCAAGCAGCACTGGTTTCACATGTAGTGATCAATTCTCTATTACTATCATCATCAATAACTTGAACACCATCAACAGGAACAACACTCTCAATTGGATCAATTGGCATCTCTGATCTAATGAAATTATGAAGAATGCAATATGCAGAGATAATCCTACAATGAGTTTTAACTGGATAAAAGGACTCATCTATTAAAACACTGAGTTTTAATAACCTCCTTATGAAATTTCGATTACTTCACAATAAAATTTTAATAACATTCATATGAAATTTTAGTAAATAAAACTATGAAATTTTGATAACATTCTCTAAAATACTGAGTAGGCAGTGGCGTAAACAAGACTCTTTCTTTGAGACATAACTATGTAAATTGAAACTATCTCAACATAATTTTTGAATAATAAAATTATAAAAAACATATGACATTAATAGAAGAGAAATGTAAAAAGAAATTTATTTTATAATTGTCCACTATGAGTTTTCTTATTCTAATTATATATATATATATATTATTTGAACCTACTAGGGAATTTATTAAAGGATCACATCAACTTTTAACATGGAGAGACCTTATCGTCTCATTTTGGTCTTTTCTCACGTGGTTGATTACTGAAATATCCCCTAAGCCTAAAATGTTTTCTTCAGATCCATTGTCTTTGTGTGAATTTGACCATTAAGTTCTAATAAGTTTTGTTCTCACGAGAATTTACTAAAGGATCCCCCATTAACTTTTAATGTGGAGAGACCTTATCGCTCTGTTTTGATCTTTTCTCACGTGGACGTGGTTGATTACTGAAATATTCCCTAAACCTAACATGTTTTCTTCAGACCCATTGTCTTTTTGTGTAATTTGGCCATTAAGTTTTAATAAGTGTTGTTCCCACCATAATTTCTTTGGGTTTAGGCTTACTTCTTAGGTTGTCGGTTAAAAAACTGTTGGAATTGACGGGTATGCTGTGGGCAATCCGGCCTGAATATGTTGTCCCATTAGGCTTAAAGCTTTTGGTCCATGAGCATATTATCTGTTTTCGAATTCCCTTTGGCACGTACTATTTTTTTTAGATAATCAGCATACATTTCAAGCAACTGTTAATATTAGCTTTATTTTGATGAATTGCCTAGAGATGAAAGAGTAGAATATTAGCTTTATTTTGATGAATGAAAGACATGCTGTATGTTTTGCTTTATATATATGAATTATTTGCTTCGATGTGTGAGTTTCTCCTAACTGATGAGCTTACAACCAATGCAATATCTTTTTACTAACTGACTTAAACAACTCGAAAAAAATATAGCCCA